TGGACATAAGTGCTTATTTCTGCTGAGTATATATCCAGAATTGGAGTTGCTGGGCCACTGGGTATATGTATGTTTAGCTTTAGTAGATACTGCCAGCTTTCTGAAGTGTGCCAATTTGTACTCCCACCAGCAATGTATGAGAGCTCTGATTGTTCCACATCCTTGCTAACACTTTGTATTGTCATTCTTTTAAGTTTAGCCATTCTGGTGACTAAAATAATTGATTTTCACAAAAATCCTGTTATGTGTTGGTATTGTTATAATCCCCACTTGACAGACAAGGGATCTGGGACTCAGCGAGGAGAAGCCACTTATCCCAGATCATGCAGGATGTTAGCAGCAAGTGGGAAACAGCAGGTCTGTGTGATTCTTCTGCATCTGTGGCTGCATGCATTTTTTTTTTTTTTTTTTTTTTTTTTTTTTTTTTTGAGATAGAGTTTCACTCTGGCACCTAGGCTGAGGTGCAGTGGTTCTATCTCGGCTCACTGCAACCTCCACCTCCTGGACTCAGGTGATCTTCCCACCTCAGCCTCCTGAGTAGCTGGGACTACAAGTGCACACCACTACGCCTGGCTAATTTTTGTATTTTTTGTAGAGACAGGGTTTTGCCATGTTGCCTAGGCTGGTCTTCAACTCCTAGGCTCAAGTGATCTGCCTGCCTTGGCCTCCCAAAGTGCTGAGATTACAGGCGTCAGCCACAGCGCCCAGCCTGCATGGAATTTTAAAGTCAGAATATTTGAGTGTGTCAAATATCATCTTATTTTCATAATTCCTTTCTACAGCACTTATTTGCATTTGACAGCAGAAATATAATCTGATCACTTCCTGGCAAATACAGTCAAGTAAGTGCGTGATCACCCAGTCATTCCAGGGAATACTCAGTCGAGTGTTCTGTCCCTCCACTTCTATCCAGGGGCACAGTTACATTCTGTGGAGGTTATGTGGTCATGGCATGGAGTGGGAAGTGAGGGGGTTAAGGTTGTCTGGTCCTTGGTCATCATCATCTTCCTCTGCTGCTCAGGGAGGCAGGCTGACTTTGCCCCTGCCAGTTGTGGGTTGTCATCTCTGGTTTCTACTCTGCCCACAGATGTATGCATTCGTGCCATGGTCTCTGGCTTGGACTGTGGCGTTAGTGCTCCCTTTATTCTGTTTATTATCCCAGAAGTTCTTTCCTGGTTATCTGGCCCCTCTCAGCAACTTCATGCTGTTCTAGGGCCTCACGACACATGCTAATGCTTCCTGGGATTCTCATACATTAGGCATGGGACTGAGATGCTCCCAGGGCCCCCTGCGTAGGCACACCCAGCTGCCATTTCTACTTGACTGCTACCATACTTTCTCATCATGGAAGATTATTTAGACCCTACCCACAGACAGATTCTCCCCTCTCTCAGAACCTCCAAACCTATCTGGGGTCCTAATGCCTCCCTATCCCTGGGTTGAGAGGATGGAAGAATGAGAGAGAGTCCCTTCTCAGAGACCCACACTGGAAGCTAACTGCATGCAGTGGTCTCCTCCCCACCCCAAGCCTGGCATCATACCCTCTTTCCAATTCTTTCAACAGAGGAAGGTGAGGCCCAGAGACGTGAAGTAAGTTACCCAAGATCACATAACAGAGGCAGGTAGTCTGACTTCAGAGTGGCTATGCTTACCCCTGTATTAGAGGACCAAGACTGAGAGAGTTGACACACAGCAGGATGCAGCCAGGAGACCTTTGACCATGCAGACTGAATACTTCCTAGCTTACATGCTGTCCTATGGGATGGAACACGTATCTAAGTCCAGAGTCTGTCCCATGGATGGGTGCACAAGAAATAGAATGAGAACTGAATTCTGGGCTGCAGAGTCCTGTTTGTTTGTTTGTTTACTTTGAGTGGAATCTTGCTCTGCCGCCCAGGCTGGAGTGTAGTGGCGAGATCTCCACTCACTGCAGCCTCCACCTCCTGGGTTCAAGCAATTCTTCTGCCTTAGCCTCCCGAGTAGCTGGGATTACAGACACCTGCCACCATGCCTGGCTAATTTTTTTTTTTTTTTTTTTGTATTTTTAGTAGAGACGGGGTTTCACCATGTTGGCCAGGCTGGTCTCGAACTGCTGACCTCAAGTGATCCTCCTGCCTTGGTCTCTCAAAGTGCTGAGATTACAGGCATGAGCCACTGTGCCCGGCCCAGCGTCCCGCTTTAGATGCACTGACAGGGTTGCTCCTCATAGGAATCCTCCTGTGAATGCTTTATAGCAACGAAGACTCCAATGAAGACTTACAAAGGGAGATCATTTCTGGAAATGAATTCATCATAAAAACTGGATTTTCACATCTGGAATATTTGAATCAAAGGCCTTTAGTCTCCCTGGAAGTAGTATGCTGGGAACAGCTGTAAATTAGAAAATGCTCCTGCATTTGAGGAATGGGGCTAAGATTCACTGCCTGGGCTGTGATGGCAGATACATAGCTGGGGCTGGTGTGATGGCTGGGAAAGTCTCTTTGGTTTTGTTTCCTTCCTCTTAGGACAAGGGGTTTTGATTACCCCTTGGCACGGAGCATACGGAGTGACTGGAGTAAGGGTGGAGCCTCAGCTTCCTCAGGGCCAGCTCTGGTAACATAGGTACCCCTGCCCCTCACACCCACACATGTATCCACACATACCACAGGGACTCTGTGTGGGCCAGTCCTTTCTGACCTGTGGTCATCACTATGGATAAATGAATGGAGATGAGTCACTCCCAGCCTGTCCCACAGTGCTGCAGCTACCTTGGCCCTCCTGAGTGGAGGGTTTGAGAGAAGGTAGGGTTGATCCAGAAAGTGAGGAGCTAAACTAGTCACCTTTGACGAACACTGTTGGCTCCTTCCTGGCAGTGCTTCACCACTGAGACGCTACTACAGAGGTTTATTCACTTACTCTGGGCTTGAGGATCACCTGGAGAACTTGTTTAAAGGGCAGAAAAACCTGCCGCCAGGGAGTTATTAGATTGAAAGTGGACCCAGGAATCTGCATTTTTCTTGAACCAATTTATTTTTATGTTAAAAATTTTGAATATGTAATACATTCATGTGAATTGATACCCAAAAGGTAGAAAGGGGTATAAGGTGAAAAATTATTCTAACCCGTCCCTCAGTGACCTAGTTCCCTTCCTCTGAGGCGACCAATTTCTTGTGTATCTTTCCTGAGATAATCTATACATAAAGCACCATATACAAGCAAATGAAATATGTTTTATTTATTTATTTTTTGAGACTGCGTCTCACTCTGTCACCCAGGCTGGAGTGCAGTGACATCATCTCAGCTCATCGCAACCTCTGCCTCCTAGGCTCAGGTGATCCTCCCACCTTAACCTCCAGAATAGCTGGGACTACAGGCTCACGCCACCATACCCAGCTAATTTTTGTTTTTTTGTAGAGATGGGGTTTCACTATGTTGCCCAGGCTGGTCTCGAACTACTGAGTTCAAGTGATCTGCCCACTTCGGCCTCCCAAAGTGCTGAGATTACAGGTGTGAGCCTCCACGCCCGGCCCCGAAATCTCTTTTAAGAGTAGGCATTTCTTGGTGATTCTAATAAAGGGGGTTCTCAGACATATTTGGAAAAGCATATACCTACTTTTACGCCAGACCCTGTGCTGGGGCCCCAGGCTAGCTGTATGACCTGACACTGCACAGTCCTGCTTAGGATGCTCAAGGAGAGTTTATAAGGTATCACCCTGCATACCATAGGCAGGGGAGCAAAGGGGCTCCAGTGGGCCCTGCCTAGGAGGCCTGAAGCTGGAGCTGCTGAGGGCAGGGCTGTGCTGCTGAGAAAATATCTGAGAGCTGCAGGCATTTCATCTTCTGTCATCAGCTGTGGCACCTGGCAGACACTGGATACCACAGCTTGTAGACAAAGACCTGGTAACTCAAGAAGCTGCTTGGCATTCCTGCCCAGTCCCATCCCAGAGGCACTGTACGTCTCCGGTTTCTTCAGGGGGCCCTGTGTGGAAGTATCTTTTGTCTTCCTGTGTCAGGGATACCATCACGTGCCTGTTGGCTAGAGGAGCCGGGCGCCCAGTCTCCTAGGACAGGGAGAATAATGTTCCCGAGCAGAGCGGAGTGGGGCTTTCAGACTACTCCCGTTCCTTTACTGCAGGCTTCATTCCATCGACCTCATCACAGCCTTCCTGGGAGCACCCCAGACAAGAGTTCTGTCCAGGCCGGGCCCTGGCTGCCTGGTTCACTGCCGAATCCCCAGCACCACCCCTCGCATGTCGGGCTCAGAGCATGTTTAGTGAAGGAATGGGTACCTACTGCTAGATGGAGGCCATCTCTCTAGATTTGGGGTTTCCCTACGACGATGGCTATTTTTGGCACGGAAGCCTCCTTAGAAGTCAATAGTAGGAAATAAGGGCTAACGGCACCTAACTGTGGAGTAATGTTCAAATCCTGGCTCTGCCACTTAACCGTTCCGAACCTGTTCCCTCACTGCAGAGGCGAAAAGGCTAACACTATTTCACCTCGGAGGGTTACTGTGGAGAATGGAGGCTGGACAAGCTGTATCAGTTCAGTAGTAAAACACACACACACAAGCGCCCCCCCATCCCCACCCCAGGAATGAACACACACACACCCGCGCGCGCACACACATACACCTCAGGAATGAACACACGCGCGTACACACACACGCAGCCCCTCCCAGGAATGAACACACACACACACACACACGCGCGCGCCCCGTTCTGTTGTTCCCAGGAACACACACATAGGCGCACACACGCCCCGTTCTGTTTTTTCCAGGCCGTTTAGCTGGGGTATTTTACTCGGCTTAGGGCGCCCCTGCCTGAAAGACCTTTCTAGGCCAGTCAGGGTTCGGCACCCAGTTGATGAGAGAGCGCGGCGCTTTCAGAGCTAGGGAAAGGCGAAAGCTCTCCCGTTCCCCAACCCCCCGGCCAGCCGCCCCGGCAGCTCCTCGTCGCCTCCCGGCCTGGGCCCGCCCCGCCGTCTTCGGCCTGCCGTCAGGCGATCTCGGCGGCCAGCCCAGCCGCTGTGTGACGCCGCGCGCCCCGGGGTCCTCGGCGCCTGCGCCCTCTCCTATAAAGCAGACGCCGCGCCGCGCCGAGAGGCTGTAGTGGCTTCGTCCTCCGCTTTTCTGTTCCTCCGCTGACGTCTCCTAGCTCTCGTCAGCCTGCCGCCGGCAGTCTCCTTAACACCGAACACCGTGAGTAGCCGCCCACTGAGCTGGAAAGGGTCGTGGCGCCCGGATTGCATGCAGGCTGGCCGCACTGCTGCGGTTTGGGCCTGCCCGCGGCGGGCGGTGACTGGGCCTGGCCTTCTTTCGGCCCCGGTGGATCGTGTTGTCGACCCCGTTCTTCGGGAGACACCATCAGGTCTCGTTCACCCTCTCCGCCCCCGATTCAGCGAGGCCTGCTCTGGCCGCGCGTCCTCACAGCGCTCCATAAGTGTGAGCCGAACCCCGGGCTGGGCTTTCTCTGCACCGGCCGAGCGTCAGCCGGCGCAGGCTCGGCTGCAAGGCCCAGGCTATGGCCGGGGGCCTCTCTTGGCCTTAAGCCTGCTGTCCCGGGGACCAGGGCGGGGGTGGCGGCGGGGTTGTGAATGGGGGTCCCTAGGCTGTCGTGAGCATGGGCGTGTGTCGGTGTCTGGCTTTTGTTGTGGTCGGGAGGGAGAGCTGCGGTGGTGGTCTGAGGCCGCCCGGTTCTTGGCTGCCATCCTTTCTCCCCCGTGTCTGGCGTCACTAGCTACCCGTCGGTCCTGGCTAACTGTGTGCGGGCGCCGAGTTTCTGCACATAGCCGCCTGTTCCTTCTAAATATTTCTTCGCGTTGTTTTGCTATGACTTGGAGTCGTTGAAATAACTATTGTGATAGCAGATACCATCTTCAGAGTGGTGTGACTTGTAAGAGCTGTGTATAACTTAACTCGAAGTGTCTGGCTTTTAAAGAAATAGGATGTCCAGCTGCTTTGGTTCACTTTTAATGGGAACTTCACGTTTGGGTTTTAGGAACATGCATTTTTCCATTAGAGCGTCACAATAGAATGTATCTGTGTCATAGAACAATAGTCTCCTCCACTGTGCAGTCTAAAAAGCAGTGTCAGAATTTCGGGTCACTTAAAACGCAGGGTTTTTTTCCCTTTATGATGTGATAGAACCCACTTTATGCTGGCCATGGAGAATTATTTACAAGTGCAGGAGCCTTTAGGCCTCTTTCTTTAGAATGGAATTGTTTTGAAAACATTTCAAATCAAAATTTCATCCATTATTACTTAAAAATTTTGCACTTTATTCTACTGTAACACTAAAACTTATCTTTTAGTTTAGTATTACCAAGTGCATCGAATTACAGATTTAACCGATTACCTACCTGCTATTTAGTAAGATCTCAACTCCCTTAAGAGTAACCCAATCCACGAATTTGACTATGACTAAGCACTTGAGTTATTTGAAAGAAATATGAAACGGTCGTCTTGCTTTTAGAGTAATTTTATCAACTGCATTGTTAGACTTGTGATTCTGCACTGTTCATTTCAGTACTATCTGATATAAAAATTACATGTTTAAATGTTTTATAATTAAAAATTGGACTCACGTTAAAATATTTTCATTTGGAGATACCTTTTGTTGTTGTCTTGTCACAGGAAGGGTCCTCTACTCTGGGTCCTTCTTCATTGAGCAGGGACAACGGCATTATTGGCAAGCGCTAAGCAACATGGAGAGGCAGACATGTTTGTGAATTGCAAAGTGAAATCTGATTCTCTCCAACCATGGATGAGTGAGAGTAGGATATTTCAGTGGCTGGTTTTAAAACACGCTTTACTTTTTTGCTTCCTTTGCCTAAGAACCTGTTTGCTTTGGGGTTGGGGACGATTGTCTCAGAGAAGCTGAATGAATATTTTAACCGATGTAATGGGTCATAAGTCTGAACATAAAATGGGTGTGATGCATGTTTTAAATGCCAAATGATACACTTTTGTGAAAATATATGCGATTTTTAATACAACACACCTAGAAAACTTCAGAGGTACCATAAGTTAATAGTGACATCATTGGATTATGAATACTTGAGAAGCATGGGCCTTTTAAAAGTTGTATGTGAATTTTAAGAGGCCTTGAATTAATCTGTACCAGGTATTGCTACTCTTTTTGTTGTTGTTTTTCTTTTATGTATGTTTTCTTTTTTAAAAAAAGAATTTGAAGATGGTAAGAAATTGTTGGACTTTAACTTTTTTTTTGACACGGAGTCTCGCTCTGCTACCCAGGCTGGAGTACAGCGGCGCGGTCTCGGCTCACTGCAAGCTCTGCCTCCTGGGTTCATGCCATTCTCCTGCCTCAGCCTCCCAAGTAGCTGGGACTACAGGCGCCCGCCACCACGCCCGGCTAATTTTTTGTATTTTTGGTAGAGACGGGGTTTCACCATGTTAGCCAGGATGGTCTCGATCTCCTGACCTCGTGATCCACCTGCCTCGGCCTCCCAAAGTGCTGGGATTATAGGCGTGAGCCACCGCGCCTGGCCTAATTGCCTAACTTTTTATGTAAGATTATCTTTTTCCTAGTGACTCATAATTAATCTGAGTTAATAAATGCATTTTCAGAGCAAGTAATAGGTTATTATTATGGAGCTCTTGACGAGATCTCAAAGTTGGTCAGTTGGACAGTCAGTACTGAAAGATAAAAAGCGCTCTGAAATGAAGCTTCTTACTAGATTTAGGGAATTGTACTCACATCTGCTTATCTTTAAATCATTTTATTCTCGTGTATATGGTCTTGCATTGCCTCAGACATAAATCAGCATATTCTGATTTACTCTCTGGATCTGAACTCATCTTCACAGGTAGGTCTCACTGTGGGGAAAATTTCTGTCTTATTTGGTAGCCTTGTTTATTTTGGACTGACCTTCCTTAGGTTTGCATGTAGTTAATTGTGGCAGTTAACTGCTCAAATGGAGTAGTCCAGTATTCACTGGGAGACGAAAGGCAGGAAGAAAGCAAATACAAATATGTATGTTTTATTAAATTTATACCAATAGTGAGTTCAGTAGGGCAGGCCTTAAAAGCTTCTGTTCCTAGTAGTTATACTTTGAAAAAAGTTAATAGAAATACTTGCAGGCTAACCTGTGAATAACTACTTTCAACAGTGTTTTACAGGATTATGTATTGTAGGTCCTTAGAACTTTGTGGTCAATAAGTTATAGCCTTCTGACGGACTGTAGTTGATGAAATACCATGTAGAACTCTCTCTCAAATTTTACATCTAATGTACTTGTTTTTAGATGCCTTCAATTAAGTTGCAGAGTTCTGATGGAGAGATATTTGAAGTTGATGTGGAAATTGCCAAACAATCTGTGACTATTAAGACCATGTTGGAAGGTAAGTTCATTGGAAAACCTGGGTGGGGAGAAATGTGTAATTTGAGATAATTTGTGAATATCAAGTTTATATGAGCAGCAGGCTGTCATAAGGTGCTTGAGAGTATAAAGAGGTAAAGTTTACATTTTTTTCTTTATAACTTACATTTTTCTGATACAAGTCATCCTTTCTGCATTGTCTGAATTAGTGAGGGTTGTTCTGTAATTAAATGGATAAAATCATAAGGTAATAAACATTGAAGTGATTGCCAAGCCTTAGGCAATGGTTAATTTCTGTTCAAGTAAATTTGAATTCTTAAGTTCCAGTGACAGAAATTAAAGTCTTTGGAAAAGAGATACCGTCCTATAATGGTAGCTGAATAGAACACCTTATTTCAGTGAAGGGAGTGAGCTCTGTGGATTGCTGTGTAGATTTTATTTATTTATTTATTTCTTTATTCATTCATTCATTCATTCATTCGAGACGGAGTCTCACTCTTGCCCAGGCTGGAGTGCAGTGGTGCAGTCACGGCTCACTGCAGCCTCAACCTTCTGGGCTCAAGCAATCCTCTCACTTCAGCCTCCTGAATAACTGGGACTACAGGCACGTGCCACCACATCTAGCTGATTTTTTTTGAGACAGATTTTTGCTCTTGTTGCCCAGCCTGAAGTGCGATGGTGTAATCTTGACTCACTGTAACCTCCGTCTCCCTGGTTCAAGCGATTCTCCTGCCTCAGCCTCCCGAATAGCTGGAATTAGAGGCTTGCGCCAGCAAGCCCAGCTAATTTTGTATTTTCTTTAGAGACGAGGTTTCTCCATGTTGGTCAGGCTGGTGTCGAACTCCCAACCTCAGGTCATCCGCCCGCCTTGGCCTCCCAAAGTGTTGGGATCACAGGCGTGAGCCACCGTGCCCAGCCCCAGCTGAGTTTTTAATTTTTTTTTTTTTTTTGAGACGGAGTCTTGCTCTGTTGCCCAGGCTGGAGTGCAAGTGGCATGATCTCAGCTCACTGCAACCTCTGCCTTCCGGGTTCAAGTGATTCTCCTGCCTTAGCCTCCCAAGTAGCTGGGATTACAGGTGCACACCACCATGCCTGGCTAATTTTTGTATTTTTAGTAGAGACAGGATTTCACCATGTTGGTCAGGCTGGTCTCGAACTCGTGACCTCATGATCTGCCTGCCTGAGCCTCCCAAAGTGCTGGGATTACAGGCGTGAGCCACCATGCCCAGCCTAAATGTTACCCTGGCTGTTCTCACACTTTTGGACTCAAGCCATCCTCCCACCTCAGCACCCCAAAGTACTGGGAAGAGCCACATTACAGGCATGAGCCACTGTGCCAGGCAGAATTTTTTTTTTTTTTTTTAAAACAAGCTTTCTCTTTTTGTCATTCCCCTGAAACTGCTACAAAGTATATATGCAGCATAAGGAAGTGAGTTAGAAAACAGTTCTTGAAACTCACTAGTTAATGTAGATCTCTTTTAAGTATTACCAGTGGGGTGATACAAATCAGTGTCTGGAATTGATGAAAAAAACTCAGTAGTATTGAGTGTTCTTTAGTACTTAAATGTCAGAGGTTTTTTATGTAGGGAAGATCAGTAGCTTATAAATACTTAAACGAAGAGAAGGGTTATATGCCAACATTGGTGCTGGTGAAAAGAAGGTTAAGTGAGACATGGCCTTTGCCCTTGAAGAACTTATAAACTAGGAGGGAAGCCAGACACAAACAAGGCAAACTTGTCACATGGTGTAATTAGCGCATTAATAAAGTTGCGTGCCAAGTGGCGCCGTGGGAACATCTTGGCTAGTGTTATGCTTCAGTCTTGAAGAGATTGCAGTATGTAGTACTGGTGAGGATATTTCTTCTATTTATTTATTTTTTTGAGGCTGAGTTTTGCTCTTGTTGCCCAGCTTGGTGTGCAGTGGTGCGATCTCAGCTCACTGCCACCTCTGCCTCCAGGGTTCAAGCACTTCTTCTGCCTCAGCCTCCCAGGTAGCTGGGATTACAGGCATGCGCCACCATGCCCAGCTCATTTTGTATTTTTAGTAGAGACGAGGTTTCTCCATGTTAGGCTGGTCTCAAACTCCTGACCTCAGGTGATCCTCCCACCTCAGCCTCCCAATATGTTGGAATTACAGGCGTGAGCCATTAAGCCCAGCCGAGGTGATATTTAAATCCAGTAAAATTAGGATGTTTTGGGAGATCATTCTGAAGTAAAGTAGACAGGGTGTGCTAGGGAAAGTAAAAATAAGGTTTTCAGTTGGGGTGGGATGGAATTGCGATACTGTAGTTGGTAGAGCTGAAAATGGGTTTGAGAGGAATGGAGAAGAAAATGACTTTAAGCTTAAACCATGTTTGAGATTCCTTCAGAAGATCTATGTAGCAGTCTACTAGGTGATTGAGTTTGTGAATATTGGCCCCAGAGTTAGACTGCTAGAGATAAGGAGACTTGTTTTATATATTGGGTTATGGGAGTTTAACTCTGGAAGATGATGATGTTGGAGCTGCGGTGCTAAAGAGTATAGAAGTCAGTGGTAGAGAATTAGTAAAGTAGCATTTGTGTAAGTTAAGGGAAAAGGGAACATTTCTAGGTGACTAGAGTGATTGCCAGATTTATATACTGTATACTGGTCCTTAGAATTTCATAGTTAATAAGTTAGAGGACTTCTAGCTGCAGATACTTAGGTGTGGTAGAGGCAGAAGCTGAATTACAGAGATGTGTCTTCCGTTTTGTTTTTTAAGTGGGTGACAATCTGTTTTCTGATAAAAGCTTAGAATTCTCTTTAGTAACTGGTACCAATCATGGTGGCCCTTAAAGTCCTGTATTCTGGTAACTTAAGATAACTTCTACTAAGTTGTAAACTGCTTGGTACATCCCACAGTCACTGTTCATCAAGTACCTATTGAATGAAGAAGTATGTTATGCTCACTAAAAAAAAGTGAAAGTAATCCAAGTGTCCCTAAAAGGCCAGGTGAGTAAGGTTTTATCCAGAAGATGTAGAAACTGATACCTGAATTGCTGCCTGAATACTTTGGCATTGAAAGTGTTCTTTATTTTATCTTGGTGCCTGACACTAATCTGTCCTGTGCTGCTTCAAAGCAGCATTTGCTAAGTTTAAAAACGTAGGGCATCTTGAAGACTTAGCATGCCAACTTTGATTACTGAAGTAAGTGGACTGATAGGCAGTTAGCAACAATTAAATTATTCTTTTACTCCATTGCCTTTGGGAATCAAGTGAATGGTTTTATCTTAAGTACCAATGGCTTACATAAGATTTTAGCCTCTTGAGGACTGGAGTCTTTTGAATTTGGCAACTTACTGCTTTTCTTGTTTTCCATCTGCAGTATCTCTGGTTATGGGTTTTATGTGACTTAGAAAACAAAAATAAAACCTTTTAATCCAGAGGACAATCAGAAGTGAGACTCCTGGCACATTTACATGTGGATTGGATGATTAGTTCAGGTCCAGGGTACAGTATCAGAATACAGATATCTTTCAGAAGTCCCTGAAACTGAATAGCTTAAAGGAATGACTGTTGCTACTTGTGCTTTTAGTCTGAAAGCAAAAAATACTGTACATCCTTAGTTTAAATGCTGGAGGATTTAAAGAGGATTGCTTGAGCCCAGGAGTTCAAAACCAGCCTGGACAACATAGCAAGACCCTACCTTTACAAAAAATAAAAAATTAGCTTTACGATCCTTTACAGTCATAAAAGCCTTATTTTTTTTATTATTATTATTTTTTGAGACGGAGTTTCACTCTTGTTGCCCAGGCTGGAGTGCAGTGGCACAATTGTGGCTCACTGCAATCTCTGCCTCATGGGTTCGAGCAGTTCTGCTGACTCAGCCTCCCAAGTAGCTGGGATTACAGGCACGTGCCACCATGCCCAGCTTTTTTTTTTTTTTTTTGAGACAGAGCCTCACTCTGTCACCCAGGCTAGAGTGCAGTGGCACAATCTCGGCTCACTGCAACCTCCGCCTCCTGAGTAGCTGGGACAACAGCCCCCTGCCACTACTCCCAGCTAATTTTTGTATTTTTAGTAGAGATGGGGTTTCACCGTGTTGGTCAGGCTGGTCTTGAACTCCTCACCTCGTGATCTGCCTGCCTCTGTCTCCCAAAGTGCTGAGATTACAGGCGTGAGCCACCACGCCTGGCCAATTTGTTTGTATTTTTAGTAGAAATGGGGTTTCACCATGTTAGCCAGGCTGGTCTCGAACTCCTGACTTCAGGTGATCCACCCACCTTGGCCTCCCAAAGTACTGGGATTACATGCGTGAGGCACCATGCCTGGCCAAAAGCCTTATTTTTAGTGTGAGTTAAGCCTCATTCCAAATTACATTTGGATCTAAACAAGCTGGTCTTCTGTATGTTTCCTCTGATATCTTAGTTCTCAAGACCAAAGTATTTTACATTTTATAACTTCTTTCTCTCAGCTGATGAAAAAGATTTCATACTTGTTCAGGAAAGACATAAGCGACTTGTTCCACACAGAGCTTTACATGAGACGTTGTCATTTTACAGTTTCACTCTAAGCTGAGATACGATCAGGGATAGGCATTGGTGGGAGGAAGAAGAGAGGGGAGATGAGTGAATCCATCCATGCAAGATGACATGAATTATTTTTGAATCTACTCTCATCTTTACCGCTCCACTGGAACTGCTTGTAAATAAAGCTCAGTGAACCCCATGTCATCAAGTGCATTGTCTGTTTTCAGTTCTTATCTAGACCTGTTGACATTATTTGATGCTTGATTATTCCCCTCTTCACTTGGTTCCTAAAATTCCACTTAGTACTTACCTCACACCCTTCTGTCTTCCAGTCTTTAAAGCCTCAGGGCTTCATCTTTGGACCTCTTCACTATATCTATACACATCCATTTGCTTGAGCATAGTGTCATAGCATTATAAACCATCTATACACCAATTCCCAAACTTACTTACAGTTCTGATTTCTTCTCTTGATTTCTGGACTTGAACATACAACTGCCCTTGGATATCTAATATTTTACATTTAGGAAACTAGAGCTCTTGCTCCTCTCTTCCTAAAAATAATAGTTCCTCTGACAGCCTTCCCCTTATCAATTGGTGGCAACTTCATCCTTTTCATGCCATAAACCTTAGTGTTAACTCTTCTCACATTCTACTTGCCTTCTGTTGGCAAATTCTATTGTCTCTACTTTCAAAATGCAGACAGAATTAGGTCATTTCTTACCACCTCCTTAGCTACAAACCTTGTCCAGGCTATCATCTTGTGCCTGGATTATTGATAGCCCCATAATTGTGTCCCTTAACTGATGTTCTTTAACTTCCTTACACATAATATTAACTCTTTCTCATATATCCTGTTGGAAAAAAGCGATTTCTATTTTTATTCGGATAATTTTTTTTTAACCTAGTTTAAAAACTTTAATCTTGGGATCATACCATTATGTTTGGAGCTGCCTGCCTTGTTTTTGTCAGTGGCTGCATGATTGTGTGTGTGTGTGTGTATGTGTGTGTGTGTATTTTTAGTGTTTTTAGTGTGTGTATGTATACACACATCTGTGGGTTTCAGATTTGAATAGATCGACATTTTATTAACTGTAATAGTTTTCATTATTTTACTTTTTAAAATACAGTTCATCTGGAGAATTTGATGTAAAGGGGTAAGGAAAGGATCCATCTTTAATTTTTTCAGATGGCTGCCCAGTCATTCAAGCCCAACTTACTAAATCACTTTTCCTCCTAATTAAGAACTTTTTAAAATGTAATATTCCTTTATTTGTCTACTCACACAAGTTTATGTAGTTTTGGGTGGTTTTATGGACTCCATCTTTAGGAGCCACCAATTTTTAAATGCTCCTAAGAGAGCTGTTCTAAGTAAAGTCCTTTTTATATTCTTTCAGACATGTCTTAAAAGTTACAGTCGTCCCTTGGTATCCATGGGGGATTGGTTTTAGGACACCCCTGTGGATACCAAAATCCACCAATACTCAAGTCCCTTATAATAGTATAGTGTTGCCATATAACATATGCACATCACCTTGTATACTTAAAATCCTCTCTAGATTACTTACAATACCAAATACAATGTAAATGCTATGTAAGTAGTTTTTATACTGTATTGTTTAGGGAATAATGACAAGGAAACAAGTCTACATGTTTAGTGCAGACACAGCCATCCATTTTTTTTCCCAATATGTTCGATCTGTGGTTGGTTGAATCCACAGATGTAGAACTCATGGATATGGGGGCTGACTCTTATGTTTTGAGACATAGCTTGGTTGGTATAAGTATTATAATGGAATTAGGAAATAGAAATTTTCTTCTGGTTTTCTTAGATTTGGGAATGGATGATGAAGGAGATGATGACCCAGTTCCTCTACCAAATGTGAATGCAGCAATATTAAAAAAGGTAAGGTCTTTAAAGAGTTTAAGTTTATTCTGCTTAATATATAACACTAATTGATTAATATAAGTAATTCAACAATCTATGTTAGAATTTACTGCTTAAAATGACTTTTAAATTTGAATGTTCTTAAACACTTACTTGAGTGATGTTTGTATGTTCTTAAAATATACAGAAAAAAGTTCTGTCTGCTTTCTTGCCACAGTTGACTATTGTCATTTATTGGGTATCAGTACTGTATATACCTATGCAAACACTTCTCTAGGAAGGATGATCTACATGTAGAATATCTGGATCACAGGTTGGCTTATATACCTAAATTTTGGTAGATATTGTTAAATAGTCTTCTGTAAAGATACCACTTCTAGAGCATGGTGGAATTGAATCGTGACTATCTTTCTTAGATTTATAATTTTGAAATGGCTAAAGTCGTAAGAAAGGAATATGTAACACTTTGTTCCCATTTCTGTCCTTATCTATTCCAGTCCCCTTTCCGGTAGCAGTTTATCCTTTTAGTATTTGTAATAGAGGTATTAACAAGTAAGTGTGTTTCTCCCCGCACCCCCCCCCTTTTTTTTTTTTTTAGACCAGAGTCTTGCTCTGTTGCCAGGTTGGAGTGCAGTGACGTGATCTCGGCTCACTGCAATCTCTGCCTCCTGAGTAGCTGGGACTACAGGTGCACACCACCACGCCCAGCTAATTTTTGTATTTTTAGTAGAGATGGGGTTTCACTATGTTGGCCAGGATGGTTTTGATCTCTTGACCTCTTGATCTGCCCACCTCGGCCTCCCAAAGTGCTGGGATTACAGGCATGAGCCACCGCACCCAGCCTTTTCCCCCATTCTTAAGGTAGCAAACTATACATTTCTATGTTTGTTTTCTTTTTTTTTTTCCATATAACAAAATGAAAGGTGGTTTGTCTATGTGGTTTTTTTTTTGTTTGTTTTTTTTTTCTGAGACAGAGTCTCACTCTGTCGCCCAGGCTGGAGTGCAGTGGCACGATCTCAGCTTACTGCAACCTCTGCTTCTTGGGTTCAAGTGATTTTCCTGCCTCATCCCCTCGAGTAGCTGGGATTACAGGCACCCGCTACCATGCCCAGCTAATTTTTTTATTTTTGTAGAGACTTCCTGGCGCCACCCATTGTGAACCTAGGCGTTAGTTTCTTATATATCCTTTTAAGAGTTTTTTATTTTTAGATTTTTATTTTTTGTTAGTAGTGGTAGTGATTTTTTTTTTTTTTTTTTTTTGACAGAATGTCACACTCTTGCCCAGGTTGGAGTGCAGTGGCACAGTCATGGCTCACTACAGCGTTAACCTCCTGGGCTCAAGTGATTCTCTTGCCTCAACCTTCTGAGTAGCTGGGACCATCGGTGTGCACAACCACTCCTATCTCATTTTTGTATTTTTTATAGAGACAGGGTTTCACCATGTTACCCAGGCTGGTCTTGAACTTCTGGGCTCAACTAAGTCACCCACCTCGGCCTCCCAAAGTGCTAGGATTACAGGTGTGAGCCACAGTGTCCAGCCTATTATTATTATCATCATTTTTTGTAGAGATGGGGTCTCTCTATATTGCCCAGGAGGCTAGTCTTGAACTTCTGGCCTTAAGCAGTCATCCTGCCTCAGCCTCCAAAAGTGCTGGGATTACAAGTATGAGCCACTGCACCCAAGTTTAGAGTGTTTTAAATGCCTGGATAAGCAAATATTAATTGACATTTGTTTCTTTTCTTATATAAGTGGAATACTTCTTAAGAAGCTATTATTTATTTCATTAAAAACCCTTAGCTGGTCGCGGTGGCTCATGCCTGTAATCCCAGCACTTTGGGAGGCCAAGGCGGGTGGATCATCTGAGGTCAGGAGTTCGAGACCAACCTGGCCAACTAAAAATATTAAAAAAAATTAGCTGGGCATTGTGGCAGGTACCTGTAATCCCAGCTTCTCAGGAGGCCGAGGCAGAATTGCTTGAACCCAAGAGGTGGAGGTTGCAGTGAGCCAAGATAGCGCCATTGCACTCCAGCCTGGGCAACAAGAGTGAAACTCCGTCTCAAAATTAAAACAAAAACAAAAACCTTTTGCTGGCCAGGCACGGTGGCTCATACTTGTAATCCCAACACTTTGGGAGAGCAAGGTGGGTGAATTGCTTGAGTTCAGGAGTTTGCAACATGATGAAACATTATGTCTACAGAAACAAAATACAAAAATGAGCCAGGCTACTCGGGAGGCTGAGGTGAGAGGATCGCTCAAGCACAGGAGGTCGAGTGAGCCATGATCAGGGCACTGCATTCCAGCCTGGGTGACACAGTGAGACCTTGTCTCAAAAACAAACAAAAAACCCATTGCTTGGCTTTTCCTTATTGAAATTGTTTTCTTTTTTTTTTTTTTTTGTATCCTGGCAGTATAATTTCTTGACCCTGTCATTTTCTCTCAGCATTGTTTATTCCTCCAATATTTTGCTATGAAAAAGTTTTAACCATACAGAAAAATTGAAAGAATTTTTGTCACAGTAGACACCCATGTAGCCACTGCCTAGATTCTACAACTGAAAACACTTTCAGTATTGATTTTGGTCTTTATGCTGGTATGTATAGTCTAGGTAATCAGCTTCCTGAAACTTTATGAAGTAATTATTCTCCTATTAAGGGAATTTTGGGGGCTTTTCCTGCTTTGTTCCTACACCAAATAGTCTTACACATGTGTCTGGGGTATTTGGAATTTCCTCGTTACAATATATATACATATTCAGTTTTAACTGAGGAGTGCTGGATTAGCTTTCAAAGGGGTTATACCAGTTTATACTCTCTATAGAGTTCGTGTTTCCTTTCCACTGTTGCCCAACAATTAGTATCAGTTTCTTGATTTTTTTCAATCTAGAGAAGTATCCATAGTGTTAGTTTTGCTTCTGGTAAAGTTGAGTGTTCCTTATGTTTGGCCTTTCAGATGTTATTTATTGCCTGTACATATTATTAACTCATTTCTCTATAATGATTTTTTTTTTTTTTTTTTTGAGACGGAGTCTGGCTCTGTCGCCCAGGCTGGAGTTCAGTGGCCGGATCTCAGCTCACTGCAGGCTCCGCCTCCCGGGTTTACGCCATTCTCCTGCCTCAGCCTCCCGAGTAGCTGGGACTATAGGCGCCCACCACCTTGCCCGGCTAGTTTTTTGTATTTTTTTTTTTAGTAGAGACAGGGTTTCACCGTGTTAGCCAGGATGGTCTCAATCTCCTGAGCTCGTGATCCGCCCGTCTCGGCCTCCCAAAGTGCTGGGATTACAGGCTTGAGCCACCGCGCCCGGCCTCTATAATGATTTTTTAAACATTTTATATTCTCTCGGCTAATCATTGTACATACTGCAGGTATCTTCCAGTCATTGTCCTGTCTAACTTTTCTTTTTGCATAGAAGCTTTTTAATGTAGTCAAGTACAGTACTCTGTCAGCATGGCTTGCTTTTATCTAATAAGATCTTTTCCCTTCTAGGGTTATAAAGATTCTTCATTTTTGCTTTTCAAGCTTGGCTGTTAATGGCTCAAGTCAACCTCTAGCTAGTTATTATTCCAGTATAGGGATAAGTTGTCCCAGCAGTGATTCGAATGAGTACCTTGTGACAAAATGCCACAGAGGAATAAAACTTTTTTGTTGTTGTAGGTCATTCAGTGGTGTACCCACCACAAGGATGACCCTCCTCCTCCTGAAGATGATGAGAACAAAGAAAAGCGAACAGACGATATCCCTGTTTGGGACCAAGAATTCCTGAAAGTTGACCAAGGAACACTTTTTGAACTTATTCTGGTAAGTTTTTAACGTGTAAGATAGCTCTATTCCAGAGCCTTTAAACACTTCTTATAGATTTAAAATTTGCTAACTTCATTGACACTGAATTTTAATACTCTCTAAATTCAAATGTAATGCCATATTTAAATCCACATATCAGTAACACACTAAATGTAAATGGTCTCAACACAGCTAAAAGGCAGAAATTACCAGATCAGAAAAGCAAGCTTAGCTATGCTGTCTATAAGAAACCCACTTTAGGCCGGGCGCGGTGGCTCAAGCCTGTAATCCCAGCACTTTGGGAGGCCGAGACGGGCGGATCACGAGGTCAGGAGATCGAGACCATCCTGGCCTACACAGTGAAACCCCGTCTCTAATAAAAAATACAAAAAACTAGCCGGGCGAGGTGGCAGGCGCCTGTAGTCCCAGCTACTCGGGAGGCTGAGGCAGGAGAATGGCGTAAACCCGGGAGGCGGAGCTTGCAGTGAGCTAAGATCTGGTCACTGCACTCCAACCTGGATGACAGAGCGAGACTCTGTCTCAAAAAAAAAAAAAAAAAAAAAAAAAAAAAAAAAAAAAAAAAAAAAAAAAAAAAAAAAAAAAAAAAAAAAAAAGAAACCCACTTTAAATATATAGACACAACTAGGTTTAAAGAATGGAAGAAGATACACTACACTAACACGAGTCAAAAGAAAGCTGGAGTAACTATATTAAAATAGGTTTGGAGGGAAAGAATATTACCAGGGTTAAAGAGGATTATTTCATATTGATAAGGGGATCAGTTTTTTAAAAAGACGTAACAGTTATAAATGTTTATCTGCCTAGAAGCGGAACTTCCAAGTGAAACAAAACCCAGTAGAACTCAAAGAAGTCCACAAAGTGACAATCATAGAGATTTCAGCACCTCTCTCAGTTAATATAACTAGACAGAAATCAGGATAACTTGATATAACACTATTGACCAAATTGTCTTAATGGACATTTATAAACGATTATATATAATTAATAATATGTTTTTTTTTTTTTTTTGAGACAGAATTTCACTCTTGTCCGGGTTCAAGCGATTCTCCTGCCTTAGCCTTATGAGTAGCTGAGATTACAGGCATGAGCCATCACACCTAGCTAATTTTTTATATTTTTAGTAGAGATGGGGTTTCATCATGCTGGCCAGGCTGGTCTCGAGCTCCTAGCCTCAAGTGATCCACCCGCCTCGCCCTCCCAAGTGTCGGGATTATAGGCGTGAGCCACTGCGCCTGGCTGAGACTTGTTTTATGGCCCAGGACATGGTCTGTCTTGGTAATATACACTTGAAAAGAATATGTATTCTGCTATCATTACATATAATGTTTTAGGCTGGGCACAGTGGCTCACACCTGTAATCCCAGCACTTTAGGAGGCCGAGGCGGGAGGATCACGAGGTCAGGAAATCGAGACCATCTTGGCTAACATGGTGAAATCTCGTCTCTACTAAAAATACAAAAAATTAGCCGGGCGTGGTGGCAGGCGCCTGTAGTCTCAGCTACTTGGAGGCTGTGGAGAATGGCGTGAACCCAGGAGGTGGAGCTTGCAGTGAGCCAAGATCGCTCCACCGCCCTCCAGTGACAGAGCGAGAGTCTCGTCTCAAAAATAAATAAATAAATTAGCTGGGTGTGGAGGCACGCACCTGTAATCCCACCTACTTGGGAGACTGAGGCAAGAGAATCGGTTGAATCTGGGAGGCGGAGGTTGCAGTGAGCCGAGATCGCTCCACCGCCCTCCAGTGACAGAGCGAGAGTCTCGTCTCAAAAATAAATAAATAAATTAGCTGGGTGTGGAGGCACGCACCTGTAATCCCACCTACTTGGGAGACTGAGGCAAGAGAATCGGCTAAACCTGGGAGGTGCAGGTTGCAGTAAGCCGAGATCATGCCACTGAATTCCAGCCTGGGTGACAGAGTGAGATGGTGTCTCAAAAAAAAAAAAGTCTATCGTAAAAGGATTCAAGTCATACAAAGTTTGTCTTCTGACTGCAATGGAATTAGAAATCACAAACAGATATCTGGAAAAATCTGCAACTACTTTTAAACTAACACATTTGCAGGTAAGCTACGGGTCAAAGAAGAAATAGAAAGTATTTTGAGCTGAATGGAAATAAAACATATGAAAAATCTGTGAGATGCAGCTAAAGAATTACTTAGAAGGAAACTGATGGAATGAAATACCTATAATTAGAAAGGAAAAAAGTTTCAGATCGGTGATCTAAGCTTCCACCTTAAACTAGTAAAGGATGAAATTAAAGTAAACAGAAAAATGAGAATATTAAAGGGCAGAAATCAATGAAATAGAAAACAGGTAAACAATAAAGTCAATGAAACCAAAACCTGTTTTTTAAAAAGAGATCAATAAAGTGTAGTGCTTTAACTGCTTATGTTTGAACTCTTTAAGTGTGGACAACTATTTTTGCCAAGACCTGATGTGGTATTTGTGTGCATGTGTACACATATACACAACAGTAGTGGCTGTTATTTAACATTTGAGCTAGTATAGTTTGGTTAAGGAAGCATAGGGATGCAACATTATAGAGGTGTAACAAAGAAGGTCACATAAAAGTCTTTCACAGAAGAACTTAAGAGTGATTTATTCTCCCTTTAATTTAAAATTAGCATTTTAAGCTTTATTAGATATGGAATGTCAATCATTAACTTTGGATTTAGTTTAAAACATCAAGTATACTTTAAGGAAAACAACTGTCTCTTTACAGGCTGCAAACTACTTAGACATCAAAGGTTTGCTTGATGTTACATGCAAGACTGTTGCCAATATGATCAAGGGGAAGACTCCTGAGGAGATTCGCAAGACCTTCAATATCAAAAATGACTTTACTGAAGAGGAGGAAGCCCAGGTAGGTAGCACAAAGTTTTGTCTTTGATCACATGCTCTTAAAAAGGGACTAACGCCTATAACATGCCAGGAAAAGAGGTGACTGTATCAAGTAGTCTTGATACTTCAGGGATAATATGTACTTTATGTGTCTTAAACATATTCTTACTGGTCTGTCTTTATGAATCTGAACACTTAGGTGATACTGCATTTTAAGCATAAGAACAATTAGTTTTCAATGAGAAGAGCTCTTGTTACTGTATTAACAGTTACTAGTTTTGGCACCTGCAACTTTCTGTATAGACCATACATATCTGACTTCAGAAAAGCAAGCCCTATAGAGAAGTGTATGCTAGGGTACTTTAGAGTAACTTAATGAGGGGAGGAAATGAAATAATAGATCAGAATGATTTTGTTGACATGACTACAGACTGAAATTATGTGACTGAATTAACTGAATTTGCTCTGTCAACTTTAGTAAATTGCCCATTGCCTTTGCTTTGTTCATAATTTCAGCAGGGCAGAATAAAAACCGTGGGAGGCAAAAAAAGGAAATCCGGAAATATAGTCTTAATCTGATGTTATTCTAATTTTCCATGGGTTCTCAGTTCTGACTCAACTCACTGGCTATTGATGAATCAGTAGGTAGTATTTTAAGTCTTAGGAAAGACTACTCAAGTTAAGGTACTTCCTTATATTCATCTCTTTTAGGTACGCAAAGAGAACCAGTGGTGTGAAGAGAAGTGAAATGTTGTGCCTGACACTATAACACTGTAAGGATTGTTCCAAATACTAGTTGCACTGCTCTGTTTATAATTGTTAATATTAGACAAACAGTAGACAAATGCAGCAGCAAGTCAATTGTATTAGCAGAATATTGTCCTCATTGCATGTGTAGTTTGAGTATAGATTCCAAACCTATGGCTGAGTTTCTTCTAGTATGATCGAAAGTTTCTTTTTTCTTTGCTCTGAATAAAACTGAACTGTGGGTTCTCTACAAGTGGCATTTTGGGCTTTCCCTCTTTTTTGTAAAGCAATTTCTGCCTAGTTTATTGTCCAGTTAACTTTAGTGACCTTTTGAAAGTTGGCATTGTAAATAAAACAAGTTGCAAAAAAGTTTTTTGGAATAGAATTAACAAAATTTCTTTTCCCCCAACCCCCAATTGGGTTCCGCCAGGGGGATTGGTCCCGAATTTCCTTTTTCCACCCCCTTTTGGAAACCTCCGTGGAAAATTCCGGCCTCCCCCAAATTTTCGGGCCCTTTTTTTCCCCAAAAAGGTTTGGCTGGGATTTAAACCCAGGGGCCTTTTGAAAAAAAGGCCCCCCCAACCCCATGGGGGCCCCCGGGGCCCGAAACTTTTTTTTTTAAAATTTCTTAAAAACAAAACCATTTTTTACCTCTTTGGGGTTTTTATTTTTTTTTTCCAATTGGTTTCCAGGGGGGGGCTTTTTTCCTTTCTTTTGCCCTACCCAAAATAGGAAATTTTTTGGAAAAGTTTTTTTTTTTAAGGGCCTTGGGAGGGAAATGGGGGGCCTTCCAACCCAAATTTTTTGAATTTTTTTTTTTTTTTTCTTTCCCTTGTGCCTTTTTCCCTTTTTTCCTTCTTTCCAGTTGACATCTATATTCGTATGTAATTCTTGTTTCTCTTCACATTCACTGGAATTGTTGAGGCTCAGATCATCCCTTGACAGTAGTTTGCCTTCATCTCACCTTCATTTGTCCCGATTCACCTAAGTCCCATATGGTTGTCTCACTTAATTCCAATTTGTTGTCTGTACCAGAGATAAGGAAACTATAACGTGTGTGGGGTCAATCAGGCCCATAGCCTGTTTTTGTAGTCTTTGAGCTAAAAATGGTTTTTGCATTGTAAAGGGTTGTTTAAAATACACACACACACCACACACACACACACACACACACAC